AGTCGGACAATGCTGGCGAGGTTGCTTGATCTGGGTTTAGGCTTTCCGGGTGCAATGTTTTTCGTGTGTTTTCCAGGACCTTTTTCCTCCCCGCAGGTCAGACGGTTTAGGGGTTCTAGTTGCCTTCATCATCGTTCAGCCCCATCTACAATGTGTATCGAGGCTCGCCGGATCCAGGAAGGATATGTCATCCCTGTGAGGAAAATGGAGCCTAAAAAGAACTTGAGGTCCCTGCTACCATACTCTGAATATTTCGAGTTTTGGCCCCTGGACCTTACAACAATCCTACACCCTAAACCCCGCCCTGGGCAAGGCACCACTGCCTTTTCTTCGTAGGGCGTGAGGTCCTAGCGGCAGCTGCGTTGGAGCGCTGATAGGGACACTTTGAGCCTTCTACGGTTTCGGTAAGCGAACTGGCAGCTTCACGCCGTGTTCGTAAGATCTTAATCTTGGGCCTGTGGAATTCGAGTTTGTTGGTCCATTCCAACTGCCTTCCATGCTCAAAGCGCAAGACATCTTGGGCTACCCGTCCAGTCCCCGAACCCGGCTCCCAGACCTGCCGGGATTCCATAATCCGACCCTTCACACTGGAATAGAATAGGATAGAGAAACAGAATATAGTAGATGATAGTGTACGGTACTACAACACGACAGAACATGGTGTACAAATTAAGGTAATGTGCACCATCGCACAGTACGAAGATAATGCCCATATGACATGTTTCGATACATCGCCATACAACAACATGATAAACAAACTATAACATAATACTATCTCAGTGCAATACTCGAACTTTATTTTACAAAACAAAAACATACCAAAATGTTGCATAATACAATACAATACAATGCGCTAGACTACCATACAATGCAACACAAAACAATACAATACGACACAACACAATATATGACAAGCATGAACTTAATTCGAAGCCGTACATTATACAATATCAAATAACGTCATCTAAGACTACCCAATATCTTAAAATGTGGGATAACATCACATAATATGACATAACAAACATCATAAAGTACAATACAATATCTTATAGTGTACCATAGTACACCACCATGCAGTATGATATGACATGAAGTGTTGTTCTGCAGAACATAATGAGCATAACATAAGACAGCCACATAGTAACATAGTACAAATGAAACACAACATGGCATAGTAACATGGACAACTATATGGCCTTGCGCAGATCAGAAAATTTAAGCTTGGATGAAACAACAGATGTGCGGCAGCATAGGATAAGATGACCCAACATGTTATATTGGAATGTAATACGACAGCATCTTGCAATATGGTATAAAAGTGTATGATATATCCCCAAACATCTGACTCTACGGTCCCGACTCTCACGCCCGCTGAACGCAGGCAAAGCTTCGGGACAAACACTTCCTTACAAAGAGGCTGTCCTTGTAGGTTGCCATTTGTGCTCGTGAGCCGCGAATTACAGGTCGAGGGGTGGATGGCTTGGAGCCTCACAGGAGCTTGCTCGGAAAGTTTTCGGGGCCATAATGATTTGAATAGGAAAGTACGAACAAAGCCGTCGATGCAAGCTGTGGGCGTTTTGCGGCTCGGGCCATGGAGGAAATTGTAAAGTCACCGGCAGCAGCCCAGAGGAAAAACAGGACTGCATATCGCCTGGTCCGCTGCGAGGTGTAGCTGCACGAGGCGTTCGCGGAGTCATAGCGACTTCCAAGACCTCAACATGGCAGAAGCTGAGGATACAAACAACCCAAGAGCCGCTTAATTACCGATACACTTTGAATTTCAGAGGATTCATAAAGCCATATGTAATTGTAGTAAAGTACACCGCAAGACCCTCTTCTAAGCATTAATGGCCGCCATATTGTCAGAGGCTGGCTGAAAGCTTTGAGCGGCCCATGCAGTGCTTAAGACAACCCTGGCTGGCTTCCAGAAACTCCTGTCATGTCACTCAGGAACGAGAAACTACATGAAAAGTCGGCCGTTTCTTTCGGGATGTGGCCAACAGTCCACAACTGCTGTCCCTAGTCTACGCTGTTTTAGTTCTTCCCGAAATGTGAGTTCTTTGACGGGCATCTGAAGGCTGAATTCCGGATATAGTTTTCAGTGGAGCCCTCGAACACTACTCGTGTTAAAGCAGAACGCGCAGTCAAAAGCCCCAAACCCAATCCCCAAACGATTGAAACCCAGTAGCCCCAAACCTCAAACACCGCAAACTGCACCCCTAGCCCGTGAGCTGCAAGCCAAACACGACAGTAACCCTACAGTAAGGGTCCATGTGCC